GATGTCATTTTTGAAAAAGTGGAGCACGATATTTGTTACATGTCAGCAGTAACAATGTAGCGGAGGAATTGTGGACTGACCATAAACAGTTTTGACCCATGTGAAAAAGCCTGGCTATAAAAAAAAGCTCGATATTTGGGTACCACATAAGCTCACTGAAAACTAAAAACCTAATAAATCATGTACTCATTTGCAATTCTCTATTGAAACGTATATGAATCCGAATCATTTTTGATAAGATTGATCACTGATGATGAAAAGTGAATTACCTACGACAAGAACGTACGGAAAAATCGTGGTCAAAGGGTAGTCAAGCTCCACGCACTGTAGCGGAACCCGGATTAACACGAGTTAAGGTGATGCTGTGTTTATGGTGGGATTGGAAGAGCGTCGTTTATTATGAGCTTTTACCGTCGGACAAAACCATTGAATCGGATTTCTACTGTCAACGACTAATGAGACTCGAGCAAGAAATTGAGAAAAAACGCCCGGAATTGATCAAAAGAAAAGGAGTGTTCTTTCATCAAGATAACGTCAGATCTCTTCAAACACATATTTGGCCAATCAACAAAAATTGAGAGTGCTTGGTTAGGAAGTGTTAATGCATCTACCATATATTCCAGACTTTGCACCCTCAGATTTTCATCTGTTTTGGTCTCTTTAAAATTCTCTGGGTAGTGCTAGGTTAACATCAAGAAAGGACTGCCAAGAGAGGACTACCTGTCGCATTTTTTTGATCAAATATCCTAAGATTTCTACAACAACGGGATGGTGTCACTACCCACAAGATGACAACAACCTATCTAACAAAATGGCAGATATAAATTTTAATTAAATGTTATAAAACTTTGAAAAAAAAATGTCTTGAATTTGTATATCAAATACGAAGAAACTTTTCTCTCCTTTTTATGTTCTGCTGCGGCATAGCTCTGCCACTTATAGCATATAATAAGCTAATATTCCATGATGTGATTTTATACGTGGTAGAGCCATGCTGCAGTTATATTAGTAGTATAGTTGTAGCACGATTGGGCCGGCTCGACTGGGTAAGGACCACGCTCTCACAGAATACCAGCGTAAAATACTGTAGCTTAATGCTGCTGTGTTTCGTATGGTGAGTGTAGAGAACCGGAGACCCTATTTACTGGAGACGAGGCATTTCATCTTATTCCTCACGGGTGACAACGCATCTGCATTTTGATTTGTAATCGAGGATAGATGTAGATGTTTATGGGCCGTAGCAACCACTTACCATCAGGTGGACTGTGTGCTCGTTTGTCACCCTATCCTATAAAAGAAATGATGATAAGTGGTTACTGTAGCCCATAGGAAACTGTAACTTACTTAAAACAAAGATGGCCATAAAACATCCATCCATCCATCTTCCTGAAAACAACTGAAAAATAAAGTAAACTGTGGTTTACTTCATTTTTCAGTCAGGCCAACCCGATGCGTGACAACTAGGGCCAAAACCCTCCGATGTGGCGATATGAGCGAGAGGCAAGAAGGCTTTCGATAACCAGTAATCACGATGATCATTATAATAAGTAAAATATTATTCATCATCACCATTACACCCAAAGACTCAAACGAATGCCACAAAGCACGCTCCTGAGCCACCTGCATTCATCAACTTTCTGCAGCTCTTACCAGGTCATCACTTAAGTAAGTCGCCACACTTTTTTCTCTTTGAGTAATTAAAATATTATAATAGATAATGAAAAAACCTTGAAAGTACGAAAACAGTAAAAAAGACACGACAACCTTATTTATTTGAATTGATTCTTTGTCCCCTTGACAGCGCAATAGACATATTTTTTTCAATTTATAGACCGTCTTCTAAGTTCACTTTAGATTTCGAACACTCGTGTAAGGTACCTTTTTGTCTTTATAGATAAGATAATTATAAGGATAGAATTCTCAATTGCCCTAAAAGGAAAATTGTTTTAAGTTTTATGAAACGTTATAAGATATTTTATATATCTGCGACATAATTCCATTTCTTTTATTTGCTAATTTAACAAAAGAAGATGAAAGGATATTTATTCAATTTTTTCGTTGCTTGTTCAATTTAGTTGTTCATTCCCGGTCTAGGTTTTGAATTACTGCTTAAGTCCACATTTGTGCAAAATTACAAATTATTTATTTTCAGAAATCTTTAGAGGCCTTTCCTATAGATTGCCCCTTACGGGGACATTTACCAAGCTTGTTACGGCAAGCGGGTAGGTAACCGCAATTTTTTTTTTATTATTTTGACTTGTAATCAGCAAGATGCTGCTACCAATCTCCTATTTAAATTCCCTCTGCCACCAGTTACAACCCCCACGGGCTTAACTCTAGCGATAGCGGATTCTCTTACGCTACACGACTATCAATATTACGTCATAAATACAGTAAGTTTAAAATATTTGTAAGGAAATCCATTTAAGAAGCAAGATCATGTAATTTCATTGTAATTTATGTGCATATGTTTGCAATAACCTCAGGATGAGCCGTGTGTTTGTGCAATCGGTAGGCGACTATACACGGCGCCATCTTGCTCTGGAAACCCATTGAGCGGCGTCTTGCGTCTGTCAACATTCCGGCGTGGAGCACATTAAATGCATCTGCTCGCTATTCCTATTCAAACTAAGCTTTGGAGCGTCCAGAAACCATTATTTAAACGAGAATCAGACTTTAGTTTTCGTTAGAAATCGAATCTTTGCATAGAAATCAAACACTGCAATTTACGAAAACACACTGTGACATTCACTGTTCAATTGAATTAATAATCTAAGCAAGACACGAGATTAGCTAAAAGTAACGTCATAGGAGAATCCATTGCCACATTTGCTTCCGTGGTAGCTGGAATTTTATAAAAATATTTAACTGAGCAAGACACGCGTTTAGCCATGTGATGACTTCGTGAGAGTATCCATTGCCCCGTATCGTCCCGTGGATCTCATAAAAAGTGACTATGAGAAATATCAGAAAAATCTAATGGCTTCCGATAGATGGTGATATAACTATCTGGTTTTTGTCAAACGTATAATACCCAGACTGGTGGTCTGCACCATTAAGCATGCGAGACGTCTGGCAAGAGAAAAGTGTTAATTCCGATGGTGAACTGTTACGAGAATTATGGATAGAAAAAGTTAGAACAGCACCCCTATCCAATTTGCTTCGTCGTTCATAATGATAACAGCAAAGGAGTGGGATAATTTGCCATCGTCTGGCTTTTCATCCGATTACAATAACGTGGTCATCTTCAAGGCAAGAGTATAAATGCTTTTGCTAAGCTAAGGATGGACGCTTACCATCTTGGACTAACTACATCACCACTTACCATCAGGAGGGATGGTAGTTAAGCCAGCTTAATAGTTACATAATGAAAGACTGAATAATTAATTTCTCGTCGTGAATATTTTTAAAGTAACGCTAACAAAACGATGGCAGTTAGATGCTGTGGCCTATCTTAGATTGAAAATCAAAATTCAGATGCGTTGTTACCCCTGATGATTAAAAAAAAAGATTTCCGGTTCCCTACATTCACCATATCTAGCTCAGCATCATAATGATGCTATTTCACGCTGGCATTTTGTATGATTAATTTTTATTAAAAACTCAAATTTAACCTTTTTACAAATATGTTATCCTGCACCATATGCATAATTTATATACAGTGAGCGTAAAATGTACATAATATATTATGCAAATTTTATAACAACAGGATTTTCATAAAAATTTTAAACATCCTAACTAAAACGATTCGATGCTAATTCAACGCTTTTGGATGTATTTACAGAACATTAATCCTTCAAATCATTCTGCTTTTGAGTCTATGCACGATATTAGACGACGGCAAGGATGGCGCGACCAACTTCGAAAAGCTTCTCAACGCGTTTTCCCTTAAAATGTTTGACTTGTCTGACGCGCCGACGAGGGTGAAGGGGGTGAACGATTTTAGAGGACTGAATGCGTTTGCTTTGCTCCTAGCTCATAAGTCCATAGCAATGGCGCATAGCCCTTTCGCAAACAAGATCAGCTTTTCAGTAGTGAGTATTTTGGGCGTAGTACTTAATTACTTTTAAAAAACAGACCAAACACTTGAAGTATTTTAATCGTTCTCTGGAGCTTTGCGTTCATATCCGTTTCTACTACCCGTGTCTTGTCCTTACCTAGTTCGAGCTACTTTTACGGTACGAAAATATTTTTAAAATCTGCTCGGGTTCCGTAAATTGAGCTGCTTGTGACCCTCTACTTTTATGGCCCGGTCATCTACCCCATAGAAAATACAATCTACCGCTTGCCTACACTGTATTCTACATCTTTTTAATAAATTTATTTTTGCATAATAATAGTTTTCCAACGACTCACCATATTTGACATGTTTGCCTAGCATTTCCGTCAAAAGTTCAGAATAGTCTTCACGATAAGGAAACGATTCGAGTAACCTTTTTTTTTCATTCACCCCATGTGAGCAACAGCGATGGTAAGCCTTGGTACCAGGTCTTAGCGACCCCTACAAGTTTCGCTAAAGCATAATGTATTATTTCGCTCTCTTCCCACCTATAAATCTCCGCGCACTCTTCTAGTTTATTGATCCATACCAGCACTGTTTGCTCCTTGCACATGGGGTCGAATTCTGGTATAACATTAGCGTTAAACGATTATTTAGGCTTTTCTGAACTTTTAACGTTACTTAAAATTGTCAGAAACTTATTAAGAATAAGGTTAGTATCAGATTTTCTTACTACTGTTATTAAGAATAACTGACTCACAACTGGAACTGCCACTCCGGTACATTCATTCTCCTTGATTTGTGCTTTTCATTCTGATCGTATCCCCTTTGTTTATTTTTCCTTTAGTGTTGTTTTGTTCCTTCTTTTCAAATCCTCCTATTCATATTTGTGTAGAGTGTTCTTTCGCTCTCTAACCTAGGCTCTCCTTCACCCTCAAATCTGAGCGATACCTTTGCTCTCTAACCTGAGCATCCCTTGGCACTCTAACCTGGTCTCACCTTAACCCTCAAACCTGGGTGACCCTCTGCTCTCTAACCTGAGCATCCCTAGGCACTCTAACCTGGCCTCACCTTCACCCATAAACCTGGGTGATTCCCTGCTCTCTAACCTGAGCATCCCCTGGCCATCTAACCTGGCCTCACCTTCACCCTCAAACCTGGGTGACCCTCTGCTCTCTAACTCGAGAATCCCTTGGCACTCTAACCTGGCCTCACCTTCACCCTCAAACCTAGGTGAGTTAACTTCATTGGTCAGCGGGCCTTTTCCTCGACCGAGTCCAATGTCATCCAATGTATTCGTATCTGAAACTTCCAATAGAGTAGCTTGGAATATAATATTTGGTATCAATTCATCGTCAGATTAATTCATTATCATAAGTTATTAGTTCGTACACATGTTATCAAAATTTTCAATGGTTGAATTCGAATTACACAAGATTTCTTAAAATTCTTACAGGAAAAGCACAAAGAGGAAAAACAAGTTTATTAATCCTTTTGAAAAAAAAATATGGAAAAATAATGACAATTCAACTTCTTTCTTTTCCACGCTATATTTTTGCAACTACACATTGGTTTTATCTACGTACGAAATTATGAGGATAGTTTTAAGTACCAACATCATTTCTTAATCATAAACTAATACCCTTATCATAAGAAAAAAATGGCAGAAGGAAAATTAAATAATAACTAGTTTTTATTTTTGCTTTTCCTTGAATCTTCAAGGAAAAGCATAAACAAAAAAGAAAATAATTCTACATTGTATTCTGTATTACGAAAGTGAATGGCACAAAAAAGCGATAATTAGTTAATGACAGATTATGAATTATTTCAATTTACGATATTCTTTTGTAAAAGAAAAAAAATAATAATAAAGTGTGGGTAGATAAAGGATAAACAACTTCAATATAAAAGACCAGGGTCCCTAATATGTTTATTTACATAAAGGCAATAGTATTTAATTTATTTTATTTTTAATTTAATGACTACTACTTAATATTTTTTTTTTTAATTTAATAAAAATGAACAACAAAAGTTGGCCTTTGTGGACGTGAAAGAAAATTATAAAAATTCTCTAACGATCCCACTTCTGAACTGTTGCCATCAGCTCAAACACGGGGATTCGCAAAAAGAAAGAACAAATATTCCACATAATCACATTTTATATTTCCACAAAATAAAACAACATCACAGGGTATACATAATATCATAGCAAACAAGTTCACACGTACTTACAGTTTCAGTCTTCCAATAATATATCAACGAATTCTGCGCTTTATTGCTTATGACTTACTCATAGAGTAGAGTAATATATACAGAAATAGAGAGCCATCTCATAGGATTTTTTTTTTCACCCAATATGAATAGTGTCGCCGCCTGATATCATATCTCTTGAACTAATCTCAATATCATATTGACTATAGATATGTAGTTATGTATATACAGCTATCTATACTATGGGCGGTTATATTTATATTTTAAGGGATTAGGGTTCAATTTAAGACGTATTATAGATTTCAGTAATATTAACATTTATTTTTGTTATATATATTTAACATATACGATGTAAAAGCGTCTATTCCGCAAAATACAACACCAAACCAAATTAAATATGTCCACCGGGTTACCGGAATGATAAATGAAAGCATCTATTTCGCACAACACTACACAAACATACAATGTAATTCCAGCATGAAAATCTAAACAGACAACAAAGAAACGGAGGGCTAATCCCAACTCAACCAAATCACTTACAAACTATAATAAAACAACAACTTGCTCAGCGCCGGTAGCCATTATGTCATATAAAGTTGCTACTTGCCATTTCCAGAATAACCAGAATTGGTGTAGTCGCCATCTAGCGCACCTTTTTAGAATTTAATGTTCGAAATTTTATGGGGATATAGTACAAGATGGCACTAGTGTCTTTGCAAATTATTGAACCCCAACCTAAAGTATGGAAGTGGGGGGTACCCCCTGGACTTACTTCGTCTGAACCCACAGAACACTATACCCTTAAGCGCTTCTTACACTATACAATTTTTAGGAAATCTAATTAGGAACCTAAATTGGAAGCTAGTGATCACACTACACTAAATTGAATTCTAAATCGTGACGAACCGCATTCGTAAAGAAGTATTGACGGGGTTGCACGTTTGATCGATGGCGCCGTATTTATCAAAACAGCAGAAAATAGGACTTGCCTTAGCCGTGGTGGGAACAATGGATATTAAAAAAAGAGAAAAGAGTACTTGTCATTGAAAAAACTGTCCAATATGAATATAATTATATATTTTTAGATTTTAAGCAGTTTTTTTATAGGATAGGGTGACAAACTAGCACACAGTATATCTACATCTATCTCCGATTACAAATCAAAATGAAGATGTGTTGTCACCTGTGACGACTAAGATGGAATGCCTCGTTTCCAGTAAAAAGAGTCTCCGGTTCTCTACACTCGCCATACGAAACACAGCAACATTAAGCTACTATTTTACGCTGGTATTCTGTGGGAGCGTGGTGCTTCCTCGGTCGAGCCGACCTATTCGTGCTACAACTATACTACTAATATAACTGCAGCATGGCTCTACCACCTATAAACAATTTGAATATTTGTTAAGTTTGGTATCCAAACATATTGAAAAAGAAGTCACGATATTTCGATAAAGTGTGAGTACCAAAGAATGTTTGATGGTGACATTACGTTTTATAGCCACCGGAAATTAATATTAAGATTTAAAGTACTGCTCTCTGATATCAGACTTCTATCAAAGCGCCGACTGGTTGTTCTAAATCGTAACGTTGCGATTATACTGTCCTAAATTGTAAACAATTTAGGAAGTAGAGCGATTGGGACCTCCAATTTGACTAAATCGGATCCTAACTGTTCTAACTACGATTACACCTTCCTATTTCCTAATTAGATTTCCTAAAAAATTGTATAATGTAATAAGCGCTTTAGGCGGGAAGAATGTCAACTTCAAACAAAGAAAATGGCACCCATAATGCACGCCATCTCTGTCGTGCCCCACTAAAACTTTTTTTGCGCGGGAATTTTGAAACGTGATTTTTTTTTAGTTGGCGTCTTGGTTGTTTCGTTTCAAAAATGGCTTAAGAATGTAAAATACCATATAGATAGATATAGCTTGTAGTTTTTTGTTTCAATGATATATATTGCTAAATTAAAACGAAAACAAAAGCACAAAGTTATTTGTAAATTATGGTACTTTACATTCATAAACCACTTTTGAAACGATTAGCAATCATTTTAATATAAAAAAGGAACTATTTTTCAAATAAAAGTGGTTTTTGAAATACATAATTTTTATTTACATTACATACTTGTCCACATTGGTACATAGAAAAACCGTTGATACATTGATGGACGTAAGTGACGTAGTAATTAACTAATTTTTAACTTTATGCATGTAAACAGTTCTCAATAGCTCTTAACTAAATATCGATTTAATAGTTAAGTAGTTATGTAAAACAGAATAGTCTATTTTTAAGAGGTAGGCGTGTTTTAGCGAAGTATAGGAAATAAGTATTATTTGTCATGTTTGTCGAAAATGGTTTCCCCCTTCTTAGGTCTGGTGTGCATGCGTTGACACAATCAAACAGCTTGTCCATATTTGCAATAACATTAGCAGTAGTGACGGCCTCTGAAGAGAGTTCCCCTGTAAACAATACATAATTTAAGATCTTACTATTAGGATTAAAGAAATATGATTTAAAGTACATTACAAGACAACTCAAAAAAAAATCACATATCACACAATAAACAATAATTTGTACTTGGGAGAGCCTAGTTCCTTTTTTAAGTTAATAATTATTTTAATGGGTGGACATATGTTTAAATATTATACTTTCAATTATAAATTTAATTTACCTTGTGAAATTTTAGCATACATTCCTGCAGCAACTGAGTGGCTTAACACTTGTGCAGCTAGCTTCACCTTCATCTTCTGCTTCGTATTTGGATTTAAATGTTCTTGTTTTAAGCAAGGTGCAAACACAAAATTGGGATTGGTGTTATCTGTTTCATAAAACTCCTTTATATGGCTCCATTTAGCAACACCTGTAATAAACATTTGTGTAAAGATCCAGTAAATTGGAAATATGTATAATATTATGATTGTAATAAAACAAAATATCTTACCAAATCCAATTTGATCATTTGATGTTATATATGTTGGACATTTAATGTCATATTTTAAAAACATATTTCTAAAGCATTTGAGCAAATGCGGAGTATCAAAAATGGTAACCACTTCTCGATTACTTAGCAGAATATATATATGGCTGTTCTACAGATGCTCCCAAGATACTTAAAGCTCTCTTATTCACACCATCCATATCACACACTGTAGCTGAAATATTAATTCCAGCATCAAAACAATGTTGAAGGACCTACAATGATAAAAGGGTAAATTAATACGGTAAAAAAGTACTACTACATATATTGACATAATAACAAATAAAAGACCATAATGCTCACCTCCTTTATAAAAACTGACAGCCTATCTGCAGTCACAGATCCGCTAGAAAAATAATAAGCAATTGGTTGTTTCAGCTTTTTACGGATTCCGCCAATCATGAACACGAGGGCATGTGTTGCCATTTGTGGTGACCTGCCCTGCAATGCATGGTCTTGACAACCCTCAATTATGTCCTCCTTTTTTGTTGTAAAACAAATTCTTTTTTATTGACATCTCATCAAACATAAGGATATACTCATTGTCTGAGGGAGTCTGTTGCTTTATAGTTTTTTTTTTCAAAACATTAAAAATTTGGTCATTAATACCAACTTTCATGTGAAACTTGCTTAATAACGCTTTTAATGAACTAGGTGTTGGCAGGCAAATCATCCTTCTTAATAATTTGTAACACCTAGGTGACCTTTTATACAGTCTTAGTGCTATTATTTTGGAGTCCATGTTCCATCTTCGACCTTTTGATTTTTTTTTATAGTTTTGCAATTCTCCTTGCAAAAATAATGCAAAAAGAGGGGGATATTTTACATTTTAATGTTTCATTTACTGAATCATTTTTGCTCAGTACTTTGAGAAATGCTTCATTCTTTAGATGCTTTACAGTTTTTTGAAGCCTGTTAATTTTTCTCAGATGATATTTCATTTTTATCAACATATCTTTATCCTTTTTGTTTTTCGTGGATGGATTTGCAGCAGCAACAGGGTTGATATTCTCAGTTACTTGAGGAAGAGCACTAGTTATATCAGGAATGGTCTTATAATGCACATTCTCACACAAGGGTTGTATACATTTTGACGGACCCGCAACCGGCTCAAATACATTTGGAACAGTTATAGTCTTCTGAATATTTTCCGACAGTGGTTGTTTAGTAGTTGGTGGACCCGCAATATGTTGAATGACATTCCTTTGTTCCAAATTAAGGTCAGCTAATGTGATCTGAAAATTAGAGATTATCAAATCATTATTTATATCATGTATCCCAGCATTGATCAACCTATCTCTAAATTTCAAACAGCCTTATAAATTTATAAACATTAAATACAACTTGTTTTTATTAATGAATGTTGCTTTAACCCATTACCACCACTACTTACTTATGGCTGCGAAACTTGGGCACTTTCTAAGCAGCACAGAGATATGCTCGAACATTGTCAAAGAGCCATGGAAAGGAGCATGCTAAGAATCAGAAAAATAGATAAGCAAAGAAACACACACATAAGAACAAGAACAGGTGTGACAAATATTCTCACCAAGATAGACCAAATGAAGTGGAGATGGATAGGTCATATGCTATGGAGCCCTCAAGATAAATGGAGCTATATTATTATTATTATTGGGGTATCTACATAATTTTCTCACCTGGTTGGGTTCTATAAATATATAATTATAAATTAAAATGAAAAGATAAATATACATAAATATCAATAAAATAAAATAAACACAAAAACTACATAAATAAATGAGATCCAACCAGATGGGAGCCCTCGGCAGGGGAGACCAAACGGCCGAGGGTTAGGGGGAAAGGGAAATAAATTATTATTATTATTTGGGGTATCTATATAGTTTTCTCATCTGGTTGGGTGCTATAAATATATAATTATAAATGAAAATGAAAACACAAATATACATAAATATCAATAACATAAAATAAATATAAAAGTACATAAATAAATAAAAGCCCAACCAGATGGAGGCCCTCGGCAGGGAGACCAAACGGCCGAGGGTTAGGGGGAAAGGGAAAGAAACCGGCGGACGATGCGGGCGGTATCGAGGAGCACCGCCTTCTGCATTTGAACCTGGAGCGGTCCGCCACGTAGTCCCATCCGCCTCAGATGATCCGAGAGGCTGACTGGGATTAGCCCGTTTGCAGAGACGACTACAGGAATAATTTCGGTCGGCAGACCACCCCACATGTCGGTCACCTCGTGAGCCAGGTCCAGATATTTTGTTTGCTTGTCTGTTTCGGCTTTCACGAGGTTCTCGTCACACGGAATGGTAATGTCGACCAAAAATATCCTTGACTGTGCCCGGTCCATCAGCGCAATATCAGGCTTATTCGCAAGAATAGTCCTGTCTGTGATGATGGCCCGGTCCCAATAGAGCCTGGCGCGATCATTTTCGAGCACGGCTTCCGGCAAGTACTTGTAATACGGCAATTTCCGATCCACGAGACCGTATTTCAGAGCGAGCTCCTGGTGTAGAATTCTGGCTACTAGGTTGTGCCTGTGCAAGTACTCAGAGTCGGAAAGCGCCGAACAACCGGAGATAACATGCCTAAGTGACTCACCGGGATGGCGACAAGCTCGATAGATGTCGACGGTGCCATCCTTTAGGATATATCTCCGATAGTTGTTGGTCTTAATAACCTGATCCTGTATTGCACAGACAAAACCCTCGGTTTCCCCCGAAGAGATCACCAAAGCGTAGCCAGTGGAGGGAGGCTACTGTGTCTACGAAAGGCTCATGTAGAGCCTTGTAGAACCTCCCGTGGAGCTCCTTCTCCTTCCATACGGTCTCCCGGTCGGAAATGCTCTGCACTGCCGGGTCTTGCCATTGCTCGTTGGCTAAGGATAGAGGGGTAAGTCCTTTATCACAAGAAATGACGTCCTTATAGAATGGATAATCCGATCTCGCCAGGAAGTAATCACGGAGGCTGCACACTTCGCGATTATGCATGGTGAGCGCGCTCAAGAAGCCACGACCACCATGCTTCCGCGGCAAGTACAGCCTCATTACCGACGATCTCGGATGATGCATCCTATGGGACGTCATTGTAGTGCGGACTTTTCTATCCAGGGCATTAAGTTCAGTCTGAGTCCACCTGAGTATGCCAAAGGTATACATGAGGACAGGCATGACCCAGCCGTTATATGCGTGTGCCTTATTCACACCGGACAAAAGGCTGTTAAGCACTTTGGTCAAGCGTGCATAAAACACGTCGCAAACTGACTGTTTCATACCAGTCTCATTGATACCGATGTTTTGTGACATACCCAGGTATCGGTATGTTTCAGCCTCGGAAAGGGTCCTTAAGTTGACGGGCATAGATAAGTCTACGCCCTCAGAGTTAGCAACCCTTCCCCTTTCAACATGGAGGACCGCACACTTATCCGTCCCCAGCTCCATTCCAATGGAATTGCTAAATTCACACGTGATGTTTAGCAATTCCATAAGATGGGAGCGACTGGAGGCGAATAACTTGAGGTCATCCATATAGAAAAGGTGGGTCACTTTTGTCCCTCCTTTCCGTAACTGAAATCCCCCTCCCGGAGCCCTCCAGTAAGGTACTGAGAGGGTTCAGAGAGAGGCAGAACCAGATTGGACTCAGACAATCGCCCTGGAAGATACCCCTTCTTATCCTTATGTGGTTCTCCGCAGCCATCATCCGCTCGCCCAGATGACAAAGGATCGTACTCCACTGCCCCATACACTGCTCGAGGAAGTCTCTAACTGTACAGTCTATCTTGTACAGCTCGAGGACTCTCTTTAGCCATGTATGGGGCACCGAGTCGAATGCCTTTCTGTAGTCTATCCAGGCGGCGGAGAAGTTCCGACGGTTGCGTTTCACCACTTTGCCAATGACCGCGTCAATGAGGAGTGGTTCCTTGGTTCCACGACCACCGCCCCGACATCCATTTTGATCGCGCGACATCACCTGATTTGAGTCCAGGTGACAAATGATTCTCGCGCTCAAAATGGTATGTTAGTGTCTTGTATACGGTCGGTAGACACGTGATGGGGCGGTATTTGCTCGGGTCTGTGGTACCCTGGTCTTTAGGAACCAAATGAGTGATCCCAGTAGTGAAGAGGCATGGGAGCGACTTCTGGTTGAGAGCCTCTTGAAACTGTCGGGCGAGCACAGAGTGACACACCATGAACCCCTTCAGCCAGTAGTGATGCAGCCCGTCAAACCCCGGACTTTTCCAGTTCGGGGTCCTACGGACCGCCTCAGCTACGTCATCCAGTGTTATGATGATGGGGTCCATGGGCGTAATACCCGCACACTGACTCGCCACAACTTCCGTCCAAGGGCCCTCGCTGTGGTTTACGGGCTCTGACCACAGGCCGCGCCAGAATGCTACAGTGTCGGCCTGATTCGGTGCTGGACCCGTTCCACTTACCATTGGTCGCTCCAATGATTCATAGAGCCTCTTCTGATCACTCTGGAAGAGACGATTCTGGTTGAACCGTGTCGACCTCTCGGTATATCGCCGAATCCGCTTTCCCCAAGCAGCGATTCTCTGCTTCAGATCATCTATGCGCTCCGTCAGTTTTTGCGTTATATCCGGCTGGGACAAACTGACATTTGTCCCAGCAAACGCCATCCTGACGGTGCGCACAATTCTTGGCCTGTTGTTGCCTGATTTGAAGCATATCAGTCTGCCGATGAGAGCTCTAGCCTTTGCGATACGTTCCTCAATTCTTCTTCTCCATGCTGGGATAGCGCTACTATAGCCAGTAGCGCGTCCAGCCGTGAAAACCTTGGCGCCTATGATACGGCAGACTGCCAGCGCGGCGCCAAAAAGAATTGAGTCCGTCTCGCAAAGGTCCCGGCTGGCTTCCAAATAGGTAACCAGCATTGGGTTCAGAGCCCTCACGATAGCCCGATTCCGCTTGCTTAGGGCTATGCGGGGAAGTCGCGGTCGATTTTCGAGAGGCATACTGCGCGTTTCCACAATCGCCTCTTCCAATATACTCCTCATATGCTCTAATTCCAGTTCCTGGGCGACTGTTCCATCATCGTTTGAATAAACCACAACTGGGGTATTCACGGCGGCATCCACGTTTGCGGGTTGCTCTACCATTTGTGGCGCCGCATCCTCAGCCGTAGCATTCTCATCCGACGAGGGAACAGCCTCACGTCGTAGCCGTTCGAGTTCGGCGACATCAAATATATTTGAGCGCAAGATATACCGAACTCGGTCTGCCAGGTTTTGCTCTGTGACGATTAAAGATGGCTCCAGCTCAGCAAAAAGACGATGCATCCTAGCCCGATACGCCAAACATCCAGTTTCTTCCCCTTTTGCCCTAAAGTACGCCCGCAGTGCGTTTGCATTCATTTCTTGTGACCAACGCATGCGACGTGCTCCACCAGCGGCGGGTGCCGCTTGCTGAGTCCGAGAAGACCCAGCCGACACCAAGCCTTCTGGTGGGGATGATGGATGCGGAGGGCTGGTAGGTGACCGTGCAGCTCCTCGCGCTCGGCTGGCGGACCGCATGCTGCCGCGTCCAGCGCCAGCTCCAGACGCGCCCCGGCGACCCCCAGGCAGCGGCCCTTTGCGCACTATCTTTTTATCCATCATCCATTATTTAGGCGTCCGTTAACGGGAGACGCCCAGGCCCGGCACCGTTTCGTGTGTTCGCCATAAGCACAAACGGGCCTCTGCACCCTAAATTCTGCCGCGGCACGGCGCTCACACCTCTCGCAAGGCGCCGACTGACTGCGTTGACGTAGCAGTTTTGTCACTTAACTGTTACGTCATCGGGCGATAGGGTCGTCAATTCCCTACGCCTTTTTATTTATTTATTATTATTATTATTATTATTATATAATGTGATCTGAAAATTAGAGATTATCAAATCATTATTTATATCATGTATCCCAGCATTGATCAACCAATCTCTAAATTTCAAACAGCCTTATAAATTTATAAACATTAAATACAACTTGTTTTTATTAATGAATGTTGCTTTAACCCATTACCACCACCATTATATATTTTTTTTAAAGTTTATATCTTTTGTTTTTCTATGGTTGAGAAGTAATGGTAGGTTACGTCGCATACCCTTATAAATCACCACTCAATTTGTTACCACCGTTTGTTAAATAGAAAATATTTTCACTGTAGTATGAGAAAAGCCACACAAAAGAAATGTAAATAGTAACAAAGGAAAGATTAACTAACCTTATCACATTCCTCATCAGGTACTGCAGATTTGACTAGCCTCTTTCCAAAATTATCAATGAAAGATGATTTCTTAAAATATTTAGTGCACAACATTAAATGCTTAGAATGAATCTTGTTTTGAAATTCTGGTGACCACCAAGAGTCATGAGGAAAACAGTACTTCGCCCATAATTCACATCTGAAAAAATACAATTAGATAATAATATACTGTTACGAACTTGAGGTTCGTGACAATAAAAATTGCCGACAGAATTACCTAAATTAACACTTTAATTCACTTTACACTAATTAAAGTTAAAAACACTAATAATTAATCACACTGATTAACTTTATTCCGCTCCGAAGCTTCGCTTGTCTCGCCAACTTCAATACTTTCCTGATCGCATCTTGCAGCGCCTATTTATATAAATTAGCAGCGAAATATCTAGAATATGCAAGTAAACACGCGCAAGGTACCGAGAGTTCGTATTTCAACTTCAAGAAGTTTAGTTCTTCGGTTCGAGACTAGATGGCGCTAGTACCGTCGACTTGAGCGCGTAACACTGCCCCCTCCTAAGACATGCTCGTCCCGAGCATTATCGGCCCCATAATAACGCGCCAGGCGATCCACATGGGCGATCTTAGGAGTCCCTCTTGCGCTTTTCTGTAACGGCTCCGCAATGTCTAGGGCTGTCCTATCCCATGGTGCACCAACATTGCACAATTTCGATGCTCCTCTACTACGTATCTGAGGTCCCTTCACGGCCGCACAACTTGTACATGCACGACACCAATCCTCGACATCGTCACGATAATGGACCCAGAAAAACTGTTCTCGGACCTTCAGTAGAGTTCGTTTAACTCCCAGATGGACTCTTGAACGACCATTATGGCACAGCTGTAGAACATTCGGCACTTTAGCTTTAGGGACAACCATTTGCAAACGACAGCTGTTTCCTCGACCATTGTCCCATTTACGGCACAGGACTCCATCCTGAATCAGGAAGCTGTCCCATTGGGCCCAATAGCTTTTCGTGGTTGAACCCATCGCTGAGACGTCCCTCTACTTAGGCTTGGTAGCCCGGGCCTTCATCTCTTCCAGAATCGGCTTGATGTCCGGATCTTCCTGCTGTGCATGTCGTAGGCTGTCCTTCCACCCGTTGCTGAGGTGGTCTGTCCTGAGCATCCTCACGGATACCACTTCCTTACTCTCTTGCATACTACAATGGTTGCAATCTTCAGGAAAAGGTCTTCTTGACAATGTATCTGCGTTGCCGTGAGATTTTCGGCTGCGATGTCTGTTAGTAAAGTCGTATCCCGGCTGCTGCTGGGTGGTGATGTTAGCCGCACTTCCCTTCTGAGATCGTTCACCTTCCCTTTCTAGGGTTCGCTTAGGGCAGCTGGATCGAAGATGGCCCCTTTCCCCACAGCCATAGCACCTCACCAGTATTCTTTATTGTGGTTGCGAACCGTAACTGCTGCAACTTCCCTAGCACGAGGGGGAACGACGATCCTGCCACCGCCAGGCGGTGTCGTTAGCTGCACTAACCTCTCGAGATCGATCAACTCTCCTTTCTACAGTTCGCTTAGGGCAGCTGGAGCGAAGATGGCCCCTTTCCCCACAGCCATAGCACCTAGGGCTGTATCCTTTGTTGCAGTCGCGAACTGTAGCTGCTGCAACCTCCCTAACGCGATAGGAACGATGATCCTGCCGCACGGCCTCCACCTCCAGTGCATGGGCCAAGGCGTCCTTAAGCGTCTTGTGGTGCGCGAGCCTCACAGCAGCTCTGACTTCCAGGTCGCGGATGCCGTCGATGAATGTCTGCACCAGGTTCCCTTCAATGAGCGCAGGTACAGACCGGTATGCTTTTCGCACCAGCTTCTCCACCTCTAGAGCCCACTGCTGCAGGTTTTCATTGATGTGCTGCACGCGATATTTAAGCTACACACGAAAGATGTGTTCGAGGAGAGCGTCGCCATATCTCGCCTCCAATGCCTCAAGGAGTTGCTCATAAGTCACTTCCTCACCGAGAGCTTCCAGAACTGTTAAGGCCTGGTCGCGCAGGCCTAGTGTGAGAGCAGTCATGGCCTGACTTTTATTCCAGCCGTTCGCTTTCATAACAGCCTCGAACTGGATTTTGCAGGCTGACCAGGAGGAAGTCCCGTCGAACGGTGGCACCTTGAACCCACGTAGCGAAGGTGTAGTAGCTACTATGGGAGCTGTAGTTCCATCCCCAAGTTTGAGTTTTTCTTCATGTCAGCCATTACGTTGTCAACCCGATTGTTCACTTGGTCGATTCGGGTTTCAGCTTTCTCGATTCGGGTTTCAGCTTTCGCGATTTGGGTTTCAGCTTCTGACAGGCGGTTGTCATGCTGAGCAACCCTATCCTTCACCTCCTTGATCTCCTTCCCGAAGGTAGCGTGAAGGTCCTTCATGAGGAGCATCTGCTCTTCCAACCGACGGGCCTGTTCCTCTTGTCCGTCCCGCAGCTGCTCTTCCAAACAACGGGCCTGTTCCTCCTGTCGGCGAGCCTGTTCCTCCTGCTGCTCTTTCAACAGACGGGCCTGTTCCTCTCGTCCGCGCTGCAGCTGCTCCTGTACCATCGCCATCAGAGCACCTAAATCAGGTGTTGCAGATGTAGGAGCTACTGACGGGCCTGCCGCCGGCGGCTGGCCCTCCGACGTCTGCGGCGTTGCACCACCAAATCTTCTTTGGTCCGTCTCCTGCTGGCGTTGACTTCTGGTACGGACACCCTCCGTTTCCTCCTTAGGTAAAATCGGCATAATTTTATCCCACTTCTGACACCAATTCTTAAGAGCTTGAGGTTCGTGACAATAAAAATTGCCGATGGAATTACCTAAATTAACACTTTAATTCACTTTACACTAATTAAAGTTAAAAACACTAATAATTAATCACACTGATTAACTTTATTCCGCTCCGAAGCTTCGCTTGCCTCGCCAACTTCAATACTTTCCTGATCGCATCTTGCAGCGCCTATTTATATAAATTAGCAGCGAAATATCCAGAATTACATTATTATTCAAGTAAACACGCGCAAGGTACCGAGAGTTCGTATTTCAACTTCAAGAAGTTTAGTTCTTCGGTTCGAGACTAGATGGCGCTAGTGCCGTCGACTTGAGCGCGTAACAATACTACTGAGGTGCTAGAAACATGCTTGGAAGAAGAGTGCAATACAAGAGATTGTTCCTTTCAAACAATTCAAATTCAATCCTTTCAAAAAAAGTGATTGTATTGTATACATATATAAATTATTTCTATAATAATATTATTTCTATGTGTACCAATACATCTATAACTACTTTATTATGTTATGATTTCTATGTGATACACCTCATGCTGTTCTGCATAATTTCTCTTTAATTTTCAGATTTATTTGCACACGTTTTTAAATCGCTTAATATGTATCTTAGGTTTTATTAGCCGATGCGGCCCATAATAATTTTTATTTCTGTTACTTTATTAATTCAGTGGTTCAAATTTAAACATTTTAAAACTGTATTAATCAGTAACCAAAAAGCTATTTAGCTTAACGTACCGTAAGCTATTTGTTCTCCCAGGCTTAGGAAAACGATGCAAGGTGATGTTACGATCATGAGCAGGAGAACATCCACACTTGTAACATTTCCTTTCGTTTTCTTTCATGATGAAAGATAAAATTGAGTCTCTGTCTCTTTAGCGCAATGCACAGCACTTGATTTTGAGTCTCTTTCTCACTGTAAACACTAAAACGGAGGAACGGGATGTTCAACTCAACGTTAGTAATGTAATAAATAAGTAAATATCAAAATATATACTTAATTTTCAACACAAATAAACAAGAACACAACCGCAAGCGCAAGGGATCTGCCATTTGTAATTTTGTTTATTTGCCGTTGCCATAACTTGCCTTTTTATTATAGTATGCAGTTTCATATTCATACATTTTGTTACTTCAATAAAGACGTAATAAATATATGTTTAATGAAATATATTATATAATAAAGTATAATAATTATTAAATAAAAAAATGATTAAAATGATGTGTCATTTAAAATAATATTTCTTTCATGGCAAGATAACATAAAGTGCAAGGGAGATAGATATTAATCCATCTCATCTCCCGGTACCAATCTTTTATTAGGAAGATGACTGGCCCTGTCTGGCCCTGTCTGAACCTCGAACCCTAGTATATAGTCAGTAATCTATGCTCGAACCAGAATGACTTTCTCCTTTTGCGTATTAGCTTCCCTCCCTTCAATCCCCTCCACTTGTTTAGTATGCATTCGAATGAACGATCGAATCTATGGTTGAATGATTTAACTACTTTGGGTTGCACCTAACCTAAATCAGGTGCCAACTTTGGGTTGCCATTGTACAACTACCCATCATAAATGAGCAGTATAAAATACAG